CCTGCAGCACATTCTATCTGTATGCAGCAGTGGGGCATATAGTAAAATGAACTAGAACTAACAAAGAAGAAAACAAAATGTTGTGTACTAAGCATATGATAGGATTAGAAATTTTTTATTAATAAATAGAATCTTCTTCTGATACGTGCCTGTTCAAAACACACCAAAAAAAAAAAACTATAAGTACAAAATATTTGGATGTTGTGGATTGCCATATACGTTTCTACTCATGCTAACTGCTGTATTTTAAGAATTACAGTATGTTTTTTGAACCAAAATCCAACCTATGAGATCCATGTGGGCTACAGCATTTTGGTTTTTTTTTCATGGCCTTGCCACTTGTACCTGCAGGATGTGCCCAGGTGCCTAGCCCTGTATGTCGAGACATTATGTGGCTTTGGAGGGTGACATTACAAGAGTAGTTCAAAAACAATAATCCCATATTTGGTTGTTTATGCTGTGTATTGAGTCTCTTTTCAGCTAGCAGAATCTGTGTTTTCAGTTCATCCCGGGGTATGAGGTTTATAGCATGGATGTAAACTGGAGAAGTGTCAACCTAGAAGCTCTGTGTGGCAGTTTTCTTCCTTACTGCTGTGAAATTCAAGAAATCTCTTTCAAAACAAGCTATTCTCATGTCTTGATTTCACCTGTGAGCCCACAGAGTGATCTTGATCAGTTGTAAACAGCAACAGTTTCCCAAAGGACTTTGTCAAACAGATGCTCCGATGATGTGTGGTGGAAACAGTCACCAGAGAGTACAGATACCAGCAGCCCACACAACACTTCTGCAGTCCTCACCTTCCTGCTTGTATTCTTTAAACTAGATCATTTGAACTAGATAGTGAATGTATATTTACATGTTGCAAGATGCCTATCACAAGATGTTGTGGTTTGTGAAACTGTAGGAAGCTACTTTTCTATGCTCAGAGCAGAAGGTTGTTTCATTTTCAGGTCTTCTGGCTTGACCTGTGGGAAGTCCATCAGTTGAATTGCTGCTCAGTTTTGTTCTTGTTGTTTTTTTGTTTTTGTTTTTTTTTTTTTCTGTGGCAGCTCATAGAATAAATAGAGCAATCCATTTGCCCAGTGTACAGATCACAAAATGAGTGGTAGGAAGAAGCTGAACGCATTTGCAGATTTTGTCTAATTGAAAGAAACAGAAAAAACCAAGGTGAAGAATTCAGCATTCCTTGGCTTACCTTGACAGCACTTCCTGTAGTGCTAGCTTTGAGAGGCTTTATGGAGTCCAGGTAGAGGGAAGATGAAGCAGTCTTCCCATTAGAGTGCTCTTTAAATAAAACATTTTTGCCTCAATAGAAACTTTAGATGAAGAGCTGACAATATTAAATGCATGTATTTATCTGCTTTTACTGGAATTGTTAAAAAGACAGCATTGGTACTAAGGGAAGGCACAAGGGTGTGAGAGGAGGCTGTCGAGGGTGGAGGACTTTTGCTAAGGCAACTGTAATTAATGTGTGAGGCCTTTTTCCAAGTGACTTAACCTCCCTTGGAAGTAAACTGTTCTTTCTTCCATGGCATCTTAAGAAGCAGTATACTGGAAGATTCATGTTGAAAAGTGACATTAAAATGTGAAAACTCTTAAGGCAAGCATTCAGATGCTGAAGCAGTGTTGAGAGAGATTGTCTCTTATTGCCTAAGTGGTAAATGCTTTGCATGGTCTGGCCAAAATATAAAACTCCCTGGCCAAAGACTTTTTTGAAAGAGCAATAAGAATTTTTTAGTGCGGGTTTATGTTGGAGTGTGAGCATGTTAGATGAAGTGCTTGGGACAGATTTTGAAGCTTGTAGCTGTTAAGACAGAAGAGCTGAAAAAGAGCTTGGTCTAAAATAGAGCAACTTATGAATACAAATAAAGTCTATAATCCCTTTTCACACAGAAGTGTAGCCAGCTTGAGCCATATTTTTGAGGTTTCGTACAGTAGGAAGAGAAAATTCAATTCTGCTGAGTCACATACTAAAATGTCCAGGATAGGACTTTCAGTAGGAAGAAAAACAAGTTTGCTTCCAGGTAGCAGATTTTAGTGATGTATATTCTGTAGCAGAAGCCCTGAAGATAAGAATTTTCTGCTTCCTCCTGCTTCCTGTTGTGTGTGACATGGGAACTGCCAGTTTAAAATTTGCACTTTTGAATACGATGTTCTCACCTACTGTTGTGTTTAATTCTCCTACAGACTACTAAAATTAAAAGAACAAGCAAGCCTGTTTCTGCTCATTCTTTTGGTATTCGATGGGATCTTGAAGATTTTAAATGCTTATCTGTTTGGGCCTCACCAAAATCTACAGACCAAAAGTGATAAAATGATTTGGAACTTTTCTTCTAACTGGCTTCCTGATTCTTACCTAGAACTACCTAGTAGTAATAGCATCTATTTAAACTTCATTTCTGTTTAAACTATAGCATCTATTTAACTTCATTCGGGGGTACTCTTTCCAATTTTTGATGTTGACTCTCCTGTCTAAGAAGTTACTATTGGTGTAACTGTATGGTAGAGGTGGTCTGGAGAAAGGTTAGAGGTTATTAAATCTCTGATGGAAGTCCTTCTGGGAGTTCAGGTAGTCACTCTGAAAGTTAAGGACAAGTTTACATTTTAAAATGTCATTCCTTATATCACTTTAAAATTTATTTTGCAATTGTTTTCAGAGTCAATAGACTCTAATATGCACTTGAAGTATTACCCTAACTATTAAAGTCTGTGCCACATAAAACACTTTAATCAAATGTTTAATTTAGATATAGAGCTATTCAACATGTGCCTCAGGCTTTTTGAAACAGAAATTACACATACATCTTTCAGATACAGAGCTAATGTGTGTGCAGTATGCTACAGGGCAGGATTTCCTTTGGCAAGGTCACATTGACACTGTATGCTCTTAGATCAGCAGTCACCAAAAGTTAGACATTGGTTGATGAGATCTAAAAGTTGTAATAAATCTATTCATAATGCAATAATGCATACAGAATTTAATGAACACTTCTTATGTATCTTTAGATGCTCTCAGCTTTCGCAGTTTTATTAATTTTTTACCATTGTTAGAAGTAAAAGCTCTTTCAAGAATATAATGTAGTTGTGGTCACTCAGAATGATGAGTAGAATACTGTTTCTGTGTGACTGAGAGTGGAGTGGTTTAATTACAATTTTCCAGGATTTTCATATATGTAAAATTTAATTTAAAATATTAAATCCTTTAAGGAAGAAGGATCACGCACCAGTGATACCCCTCCACTGCCACAGGTGAAGTCATACCTAAATGATATTTTAAGAACATCTTTTTGTGCAGATGTTTTTTTCTTCCCAGTTTTACTTTCATTTTCTGCAAAACAAGCCATCGTTATATAGCACCCTGTTATTGGACTTTGTCCTTTTAGTTCAATTCAGAAGTGATCCCCAACAGTTGTTCTTTGTGGTGGTGATGAGAGGTGAAAGCCAGGTACTGGATTTGCTATGATGATGGTAACAAGGAACGTTACATCCATGTTTTAAAAGACAACATGGAGTGGATAAATTCTTCCAGTGCCATCCAGTGGATTAGGTGT